TCATTTAAAATGTTCGTTGAAATGTGTTTTTGTTTCTTTAATTTTTGTGGAAAAATAATTGTTTATCTAGTTTTGTTAAAACTTTTATACACTAAACATATGTGCGACTTTTTATATAAAAAAAAAAAAAACAAAAAAAATTCTCAAACAAATTCCAAATTTGCCATTTTATTTAAACTAAAGCTTTGTTAAACTAAATTAATTACGCACAAGATTTTTCTTAACTGAAATTAAAATTTAAAAAATTGTTTATCCTTAAAATTTTGTTTGCATCTCATAAACTCCCTCCCTTCTATATCGTTGTCTCTCTTTTTTTTATTTAAATATAAGGCACTTTATGTTTAATTTGTGTTTTTTATATCTCTCTTGTATTTTTTTTTAAATTTTATTTTATTTATATATAAAAAAAATCACATTCTAATTCTAATCGGGGTTGTGTAGTTACATATATTTATCACATTGTATATTATAATTTTTTTTCTTTCTCTTTAATTTCTTTCTTTTAAGGTGCTTAAAATTATATTTTAATTTCCTTTATGTTTTTTATAACAATTTGTTGTATATTTTGTTTCTTTTTTTTGGAAATATTTTAAATCTCATCTTTTAATAAAAAACAACAACAATAATAATAATAATATATAAATACAAGTACTAATGAAGTAAAAAAAAAATATCATTATAAATATTTAATTTAATCATAAATACCCACATGAATGAATAAATGAAATTCAAACACAACCACAACTTCATTACTTTGTGTGTGTGTGTGAATGAATGTCTGAAGTTTTAAAACAAAAAAGAAATTTTGCAACAAAATAAAAGAAATTAAACAAAAATAATGAAATACCGTAATAAAAACATCTACAATTTGATATTAATTATTTAGTATTATAATTGTAATAATTATACTTATACAATTTTATAAAAATATCCAAAAACAAAAAAAAAAAAAAATATTAACTTGTGTTTTATTTGAAAATTTGAATTTAATTATAATTAGATCATTCTAAGAAAAAGTGGACAACTTTGTTGAAACTTAACCTGGACCTCAATCAAAACAAGAACAGAATTAGTACAAAACCAAAACAGAACAGAACTAGAACAAAATTAGAACAGAACTAAAACTAGAACAGAAGTAGAACAGAACTAGAACAGAACTAGAACAGAACTAGAACAGAACTAGAACAGAACTAGAACAGAACTAGAAAAGAACTAGAACATAACTAGAACAGAACTAGAAAAGAATTAGAACAGAACTAGAACAGAACTAGAACAGAACTAGAACAGAACTAGAACAGAACTAGAACAGAACAGAACTAGAACAGAACTAGAACAGAACTAGAACAGAACTAGAACAGAACTAGAACAGAACTAGAACTGAACTAGAACTCAACTAGAACTGAACTAGAACAGAACTAGAACAGAACTAGAACAGAACTAGAACAGAACTAGAACAGAACTAGAACAGAACTAGAAAAGAACTAGAACAGAACTAGAACAGAACTAGAACAGAAATAGAACAGAAATAGAACCGAACTAGAACAGAACTAGAACAGAACTAAAACAGAACTAGAACAGAACTAAAACAGAACAGAACTAGAACAGAACTAAAACAGAACTAGAACAGAACTAAAACAGAACTAGAACAGAACTAGAACAGAACTAGAACAGAACTAGAACAGAACTAGAACAGAACTCGAACTAGAACAGAACTAAAACAGAACTAGAACAGAAAAGAACTAGAACAGAACTATAACTGAACTAGAACTAAACTAGAACTGAACTAAAACTTAAACTGAACTAGAATTGAACTAGAACTTAAACTGAACTAGAACAGAACTAGAATAGAACTAGAACAGAACTAGAACAGAACCAGAACTAGAACAGAAAAGAACTAAAACATAAACTGAACTAGAACTTAAACTGAACTAGAACTAAAACAGAAAAGAACTAGAACAGAACAGAGCTAAAAAAGAACTAGAACAGAACTAGAACACAACTAGAAAAGAACTAGAACAGAACTAGAACAGAACTAGAACAGAACTAGAACTGAACTAGAACTAGAACAGAACTAGAACAGAACTAGAACAGGACTAGAACAGAACTAGAACAGAACTAGAACTCAACTAGAACTGAACTAGAACAGAACTAGAACAGAACTAGAACAGAACTAGAACAGAACTAGAACAGAACTAGAACAGAACTAGAAAAGAACTAGAACAGAACTAGAACAGAACTAGAACTGAACTAGAACTAGAACAGAACTAGAACAGAACTAGAACAGGACTAGAACAGAACTAGAACTGAACTAGAACTCAACTAGAACTGAACTAGAACAGAACTAGAACAGAACTAGAACAGAACTAGAACAGAACTAGAACAGAACTAGAACAGAACTAGAACAGAACTAGAAAGAACTAGAACAGAACTAGAACAGAACTAGAACAGAAATAGAACAGAAATAGAACCGAACTAGAACAGAACTAGAACAGAACTAAAACAGAACTAGAACAGAACTAAAACAGAACTAGAACAGAACTAAAACAGAACTAGAACAGAACTAGAACAGAACTAGAACAGAACTAGAACAGAACTCGAAGTAGAACAGAACTAAAACAGAACTAGAACAGAAAAGAACTAGAACAGAACTATAACTGAACTAGAACTAAACTAGAACTGAACTAAAACTTAAACTGAACTAGAATTGAACTAGAACTAGAATAGAACTAGAACAGAACTAGAACAGAACCAGAACTAGAACAGAAAAGAACTAAAACATAAACTGAACTAGAACTTAAACTGAACTAGAACTGAACTAGAACTAAAACAGAACTAGAACAGAACTAGAACAGAACTAGAACAGAACTAGAACAGAACTAGAACAGAACTAGAACTGAACTAGAACAGAACTAGAACAGAACTAGAACTGAACTAGAACTCAACTAGAACTGAACTAGAACAGAACTAGAACAGAACTAGAACAGAACTAGAACAGAACTAGAACAGAACTAGAAAAGAACTAGAACAGAACTAGAACAGAACTAGAACAGAACTAGAACAGAAATAGAACAGAAATAGAACCGAACTAGAACAGAACTAGAACAGAACTAAAACAGAACTAGAACAGAACTAAAACAGAACTAGAACAGAACTAGAACAGAACTAGAACAGAACTAGAACAGAACTAGAACAGAACTAGAACAGAACTATAACTGAACTAGAACTAAACTAGAACTGAACTAAAACTTAAACTGAACTAGAATTGAACTAGAACTTAAACTGAACTAGAACAGAACTAGAATAGAACTAGAACAGAACTAGAACAGAACCAGAACTAGAACAGAAAAGAACTAAAACATAAACTGAACTAGAACTTAAACTGAACTAGAACTAAAACAGAAAAGAACTAGAACAGAACAGAGCTAAAAAAGAACTAGAACAGAACTAGAACACAACTAGAAAAGAACTAGAACAGAACTAGAACAGAACTAGAACAGAACTAGAACTGAACTAGAACAGAACTAGAACAGAACTAGAACAGGACTAGAACAGAACTAGAAAAGAACTAGAACAGAACAAGAACAAAACTAGAACAGAACAGAGCTAAAAAATGAACTAGAACAGAATTGGAACAGAAAAGAACTAGAATAGAAGTAGAAAAGAACTAGAACAGAACATAGCTAGGAAAGAACTAGAACTGAGCTAGAACACAACTAGAAAAGAACTAAAACAGAACTAGAACAGAATTAGAACAGAATTAGAACAGAAGTAGAACAGAACTAGAACACAACTAGAATAGAAATAGAACACAACAAGAAAATAACTAGAACAGAACTAGAACAGAACAGAGCTAGAACAGGACTAGAACAGAATAGAGCTAGAAAAGATCTAGAACAGAACTAGAAAATAACTAGAACAGAACTAGAAAGGTTCTAGAACAGAACTACAATAGAACTAGAAAGGAACTAGAACAGAACTACAACTGAAATAGAACTGATCTTGAACTGAACTAGAACTTGAGCTGAACTTAACAGAACTTGAACTGAACTAGAACTGAAACACTAAAACTGACCTAGAACTGAACCAGAACTAGAGCTGAAGTAAAACTGATCTAGAGGTGAACTAGAACAGAACTAGAATAGAACTAGAACAGATCTTGAACAGAACTAGAACAGTTCTATAACAGAACAGAATTAGAACAGAACTAGAACCGAATTAGATTAGAACTTGAACTGAACTAGAACTAAACTAGAACTACACTAGAACCGAAATGAAAGTGAACTATAACTGATCTAGAACTGCACTAGAATTTAACTAGAACTAAAGTATAACTCAACTGCAACTCATCTGGAACTTAAGTAGAGCTGAACTAGAAACGGATTGGGAGTCAAAATAGTATTTTATGTTTAGGACTTCAAATGAACTCTTGCGCTCGTTGAGGGTTAATTTCTGTGACGGTAGTTTAACAACATCGTAAGATTCTCAAAACTTTTTGCAATTAAAATTATTATTTTTTTTTTTTTTTAAGTTTTCTTTTTATTTATTTTATGTTCAAAATATATTACAATAAATTTAAACTTAAAAATTATAACAGTTACAAAGTTATGTATTAGGTTTTTGTTTATGCACAGTACTGATGATAAATTTTCACTCAACTTAAGACACTAAAAAGCGACATACAAACGTAAAACATATGACTTAATTACAAAAAATAAAATAAAATAATAAAACATTTTGTTTAGCTACAAAATAGTAAGTATAAAGCCCTTTTACAAAAAAAAAATCACTGAAATTAATAGAAAACAATTTAAATAGGCAGGCATTTTTTAAAAGGCGTAAGTTTAAAATAAAAAGAAATATGTTGATAAAACATACTTAAACTAATGGTAATGTGTATTATAAAAGGAAAAACATAAATATTTATAAAGTTTTAATATAAAATTGTTTTTAAAAAAACATTGCACTTAAAAGATAAAATCATATTTTGTTTTTTTTTTTTATAGTTTATAACATTTTAATAATAAGTAGTTGCAGTGTTAGCTGTTAACTATTGTTGCTTTGATAGGGATTGATAGTATTCTGAAAGGATTTTCCAGGCTTTAGGTTCCATAAAACCATCTGGTGGATTTGAGCCAGTCTTAGCTAATGTGCGCATTTTAGTACCTGAGATAAATTCAAATTCTTCCTTGCGTTTGGGTTCGAAAAATGCCATACGAGAAATGCTCTTGTCATAAGCAGCCACACGGAAGGGCAAAATCTTTAATAGGAAATTTAATTTAATATAAAAAAAACATAAATTTAGGCGCAAGCAACCCTTACCTCCATGCTATCTAAACCTTGAGCCATTTTAAGTACTCTAGCACCATGTGTGGCTTCATATAAGTTACCATCGGGATACATTTCCTTATCGGGATGAGGCATACCAGCTGGATCTCTGCCGACAATGTAGAAGTTGGCACCGGCATTCATGCGTGCCTTAGCATGCCATTGTACCTCAGTGGGTCCAGCATACATCATGGGTGAGGGAAAGATGGCCAAAACGGTATCATCTCTACTTAAAACACCCGAATCGAGGACAGCTTGATGTTGAGCCATACGCACGGGCAATGGAACATCATCGTCCTTAGTCCAACCTCCGAGGGGATGTAAAAGAAGTACGGGTTTCTTGAAACCACGTTCGAGCAGTTGACGTTTAGTGTCTTGCATGAGTAGAGCATGACCATTGTGGATGGGGTTACGCAACTGAGGTGGAAAAGGGAAAGAAGATTTTGATCAGTTCTAGTTCAGTTCTGGATCAGTTGTAGTTCTAGTTTGGTTCTAGTTCAGTTCTAATTTAGTTCTAGTTCAGTTCTAGTTCAGTTCTAGTTCAGTTCTAGTTCCGTTCTAGCTCAGTTCTAGTTCAGTTCTAGTTCAGTTCTAGTTCAGTTCTAGTTCAGTTCTAGTTCAGTTCTAGTTCAGTTCTAGTTCTAGTTCAGTTCTAGTTCAGTTCTAGTTCAGTTCTAGTCAGTTCTAGTTCAGTTCTAGTTCAGTTCTAGTTCAGTTCTAGTTCAGTTCTAGTTCAGTTCTAGTTCAGTTCTAGTTCAGTTCTAGTTCAGTTCTAGTCATTTCTAGTTCAGTTCTAGTTCAGTTCTAGTTAGTTCTAGTTCATTTCTAGTTCAGTTCTAGTTCAGTTCTAGTTCAGTTCTAGTTCAGTTCTAGTTCAGTTCTAGTTCAGTTCTAGTTCAGTTCTAGTTCAGTTCTAGTTCAGTTCTAGTTCAGTTCTAGTTCAGTTCTAGTTCAGTTCTAGTTCAGTTCTAGTTCAGTTCTAGTTCAGTTCTAGTTCAGTTCTAGTTCAGTTCTAGTTCAGTTCTAGTTCAGTTCTAGTTCAGTTCTAGTTCAGTTCTAGTTCAGTTCTAGTTCAGTTCTAGTTCAGTTCTAGTTCAGTTCTAGTTCAGTTCTAGTTCAGTTCTAGTTCAGTTCTAGTTCAGTTCTAGTTCAGTTCAGTTCTAGTTCAGTTCTAGTTCAGTTCTAGTTCAGTTCTAGTTCAGTTCTAGTTCAGTTCTAGTTCAGTTCTAGTTCAGTTCTAGTGCTAGTTCTGTTCTAGTTCAGTTCTAGTTCAGTTCAGTTCTAGTTCAGTTCTAGTTCAGTTCTAGTTCAGTTCTAGTTCAGTTCTAGTTCAGTTCTAGTTCAGTTCTAGTTCAGTTCTAGTTCAGTTCTAGTTCAGTTCTAGTTCAGTTCTAGTTCAGTTCTAGTTCAGTTCTAGTTCAGTTCTAGTTCAGTTCTAGTTCAGTTCTAGTTCAGTTCTAGTTCAGTTCTAGTTCAGTTCTAGTTCAGTTCTAGTTCAGACCTAGTTCAGTTCTAGTTCAGTTCTAGTTCATTTCTACTTCAGTTCTAGTTCAGTTCCAGTTCAGTTCTAGTTCAGTTCTAGTTTTATACTACGTCAGTTTTGGCCTCAGTTTTAGTTTGCAAAACTTACTTGGAAAGCAAAGATAGCATCAGCTTTCATTTCGGTAAACTTTTGTCTTAATTCATTAGGTGTCAAGCGATATTGATCCAAACCATCATTCCATTGGATACGTTCAATAACTTCCAAATCACCTCCCACCAAATAATCTCCTGATTCCAAAACCATCTAGAATTTTAACAAAAAAAATCCTCATTAAAGAAACATTAAATTTCCTTCCCTGCAACACACTAATTTACCTTAATATAAGGCTGATTTGGATGTGTGGTACCGAATTGACGGGCCAAACGTTCCTCTTTGCGGTGATAGAAGAATTCAGGTTTTCTTAAAATAGCAATAGGTTTATCGTTATAGGTCAAGCAGATGGCCGATAAACCATCTAGTTTTTCTTTATTTTCTGTTGATACCGACAAAACAATCGGTACTGATTGATTTTCCCTAAAGGCACCATCTTCACTTAAGATCGAATTGAAATGCAAAGTCTGTAGATATTCATCTTCACGCATGAAACCCTTAAGAGGATAAGCCCAACCTTCGGATAGCACTTGCACCCATTGTAGTTCTACCTGGGTAATGGGTATGGAAGGCAATGACTTAACTTCATTCAAAATGGCCTCTTTAAGGGAAGGTGCCACAAATAATTCGGGCAATTTTTCGACATCGCGCAACGATTTGGGCAATATACCTTCCTCCTCCAAAAGCTGTATGACTTTTTGGGTGGATTCTTTAATGGTGAAACCATCAGTGTTAACCACCAAATCGGCATGTTCGGGTTTCTCATACTCTTGTGTAATACCGGTGAAACCTTTAATTGTACCCTCTCTGGCTTTTTTGTACAAACCCTTAACATCGCGGGACTCACACACAGACAGAGGAGTATCAACAAAGACTTCAAAGAATTTCAAACCAGCATCTTTGTGTATTTTTCTAGCCATCTCACGATCATCGGCAAAGGGAGAGACAAAACTGCAAATAGAAACTACACCACTATCAGCGAAAAGTTTGGCGACTTCACCAACACGTCTGATGTTTTCCTCACGATCGGCAGGGGTGAAACCTAAGTTCTTGTTAAGACCGGTTCTGATGTTGTCACCATCTAGACCATAGGCGGGTATGCCACGTGACACTAAATAGGCTTCCAATTCAAAGGCAATGGAAGTTTTGCCAGCACCACTGAGGCCAGTCAGCCAGACGGTGCAGCCACGGAAACCACGACATAAACCGAGATTTTTACCTCTAGCCTCACGGGTTACATGATGTTTCTGTTCTGTTACATTAGTGGCTACTTGCAGGCACTGAAATGAGAAAGAATAATGAAAAATTAGAGATAGTAGAAAGGTAGAACAGAATTTCTATTAAAGAAGTTAAACTCGTCGATTTCGACTGGATTTTAGTTAATTATATTCAATTGACTAAAATCTAATAACTACATTTAGCAATTAATATTGGTTCTTATTCATTTTAATAACACAACTACGTTTAAACAAATATGTATAAAATATCAAATTATTTTTTTTTGCTTATTAAATCACATTTTTAGATAAATTCCATTTTAAACATAATAATGGCGGGGTCATTAAACTTTACACACTAATACTTCAATATTTTACGAAAAATTAGTCAAAAGAAAGAGTTTGAAAACTTAACGTCTCGGGGCTAAAAAAAAAGTATAAACGATTATTGGTTAGCTTGAGGTCAATGAAAGATTTTCTAATCAGACGAATAACAACTTGCTCTTTTTTCTTTTTTGTTTAAATTAGCATACATTTAAGCAAGTCAGCGTTAACACATTTGCACAAGTTACCACGAATTTATTGAACACTACAAAAAAAAAAAAAAAAAGAATAGAACTAGAACTGAACAAGAACTGAACTAGGACTAAACTAAAATAAAACTAGAACAGAACTAGAACAGAGCTATAACAGAACTAGAACAGAACTAAAACAGAACTGGAACAGAACTAGAAAAGAACTAGAACAGAACTAGAACAGAACTACAACAGAACTAGAACAGAACTAGGGCAGAACTAGAACAGAACTAGAACAGAACTAGGGCAGAACTAGAACAGAACTAGAACAGAACTACAACAGAACTAGAACAGAACTACAACAGAACTAGAACAGAACTACAACAGAACTAGAACAGAACTAGAACAGAACTAGAACAGAACTAGAACAGAACTAGAACAGAACTAGAACAGAACTAGAACAGAACTAGAACAGAACTAGAACAAAACTAGAACAGAACTAGAACAGAACTAGAACAGAACTAGAACAGAACTAGGGCAGAACTAGAACAGAACTAGAACAGAACTAGAACAGAACTAGAACAGAACTAGAACAGAACTAGAACAGAACTAGAACAGAACTAGAACAGAACTAGAACAGAACTAGAACAGAACAGAACTAGAACAGAACTAGAACAGAACTAGAACAGAACTAGAACAGAACTAGAACAGAACTAGAACAGAACTAGAACAGAACTAGAACAGAACTAGAACAGAACTAGAACAGAACTAGAACAGAAGTAGAACAGAACTAGAACAGAACTAGAACAGAACTAGAACAGAACTAGAACAGAACTAGAACAGAACTAGAACAGAACTAGAACAGAACTAGAACAGAACTAGAGCAGAACTAGAACAGAACTAGAGCAGAACTAGAACAGAACTAGAACAGAACTAGAACAGAACTAGAACAGAACTAGAACAGAACTAGAACAGAACTAGAACAGAACTAGAACAGAACTATAACTGAACTTGAACTAACTAGAACTGAACTAGAACAGAACTAGAACAGAACTAGAACAGAACTAGAACAGAACTAGAACAGAACTAGAACAGAACTAGAACAGAACTAGAACAGAACTAGAACAGAACTAGAACAGAACTAGAACTGAAGTAGAACTGAACTAGAACAGAACTAGAACTGAACTGAACTAGAACTATAACTGAACTAGAACAGAACTGGAACAGAACTGGAACAGAACTAGAACAAAACTAGAACAGAACTAGAACGGAACTAGAACAGAACTAGAACAGAACTAGAACAGAACTAGAACTAGAACAGAACTAGAACTGAACTAGAACTGAACTAGAACTGAACTAGAACTGAACTAGAACTGAACTAGAACTGAACTAGAACTGAACTAGAACTGAACTAGAACTGAACTAGAACTGAATTAGAACTGAACTAGAACTGAACTAGAACTGAACTAGAACTGAACTAGAACTGAATTGGAACTGAACTAGAACTGAACTAGAACTGAACTAGAACTGAACTAGAACTGAACTAGAACTGAACTAGAACTGAACTAGAACTGAACTAGAACTGAACTAGAACTGAACTAGAACTGAACTAGAACTGAACTAGAACAGAACTAGAACGGAACAGAACAGAACTAGAACAGAACTAGAACAGAACTAGAACAGAACTAGAACAGAACTAGAACAGAACTAGAACAGAACTAGAACAGAACTAGAACAGAACTAGAACAGAACTAGAACAGAACTAGAACAGAACTAGAACAGAACTAGAACAGAACTAGAACAGAACTAGAACAGAACTAGAACAGAACTAGAACAGAACTAGAACTAGAACTGAACTAGAGCTGAACTAATGAACTGAACTAGAACTGAATAAGAACTGAACTAGAACTGAACTAGAACTGAACTAGAACTGAACTAGAACTGAACTAGAACTGAACTAGAACTGAACTAGAACTGAACTAGAACTGAACTAGAACTGAACTAGAACTGAAATAGAACTGAAGTAGAACTGAACTAGAACTGAACTAGAACTGAACTAGAACTGAACTAGAACTGAACTAGAACTGAACTAGAACTGAACTAGAACTGAACTAGAACTGAACTAGAACTGAACTAGAACTGAACTAGAACTGAACTAGAACTGAACTAGAACTGAACTAGAACTGAACTAGAACTGAACTAGAACTGAAATAGAACTGAACTAGAACTGAACTAGAACTGAACTAGAACTGAACTAGAACTGAACTAGAACTGAACCAGAACTGAACTAGAACTGAACTAGAACTGAACTAGAACTGAACTAGAACTGAACTAGAACTGAACTAGAATTGAACTAGAACTGAACTAGAACTGAACTAGAAATGAAATAGAACTGAACTAGAACTGAACTAGAACTGAACTAGAACTGAACTAGAACTGAACTAGAACTGAACTAGAACTGAACTAGAACTGAAATAGAACTGAACTAGAACTGAACTAGAACTGAACTAGAACTGAACTAGAACTGAACCAGAACTGAACTAGAACTGAACTAGAACTGAAATAGAACTGAACTAGAACTGAACTAGAACTGAACTAGAACTGAACTAGAATTGAACTAGAACTGAACTAGAACTGAACTAGAATTTAACTAGAATTGACAACTTTACACTCTTAACACTATATTTTAAAATTTTGTTTAAAATTAATTTTAAGCGTTAGGCGTTCAAAAAGTGCCTAGTCATCTTGGTGATTCTTCGAATTTAATTAAAAAAATTTTATGATTTCGTTTTTAAATATTTATTTTAAATTTAAAAGAAGGCACTTACCCTCCTTTTAACATGAGGATAAAAACCAACTGAAGGATTGGGCATATTTTTATTTTTTTTAATAATTTATCTTTAATTAAATAAAAAGTAACACTTTTTATAATAAAAATAACACTTTTATTTTTTATTTATTTTTTAATTTCAATGTTAAGTTCACAAGGTTTTGTTAAAATTGATAAGAAATTTTATTTTAAATGTTTAAACTAAAAAAAAACACTTATAATTTTTTATTATTATTTATTTTTTTTTTTAATATTGATATGAAAAACAACTTGATCAGACTAAAGACGACAGTCAACTAAAATTGTTGAAAATCTTTTGCAGAATTATAAGTTTAAAATTTTCGAATTTTTCAAAAACTTAAATAAAAACAACAACAACAGACAAAGAACTAACGACAACAAAAACAATAACAAATTAAATAGTATAAGAAACAGCTAAAATAATATTAATAAAAACATAATAATAAAGTTAGAATGATAGTGTTGTTGTTGGATTTACGGTTAAATAAGACGAAAAAAAGTTATAGAATTTTAAGAACATTTGTTTTAGGTGTTGATGATGAATTAACATAAAATTTTTATTTTACAAAGTGCCAAAGGCAAATAAATATACAAATATGTATATAAATTGAAAGAACGTCAAACTGACAGTAAATAAGAAAAATTTTGAACAGCACAAGAATTATCCCAAAGAAGTAGTGTTTACTTTTCTTAAATATAAAACAGAGTTAGACTGGATGAAGAAAGAAAAAAACATTTGGCAGACAGTTCGTCAGTCAGTTTGGCCACGTATGTTTAATTAGATAATGATAAATGTTTCTTCAGTTGTTTAGATTGTTTACTCTGAAATTTATCAAAATATCTACAGTACTGTTCAAAACCTAAACAGTAAAATTCAACTCCAACTTAAATGGTAACAGATGCTTTAGTACTGTATTCCCTCAAGACTTTTAAAACATTCAATAACTTTAGAAAACTATTGAATTGCTTTGAGTTTATACTGTAGCCTAAGGTAGCTTAGGTTTCACACGTTACTGTATACCTATTTAGTTTAAGAAAGTTATAACATAAACTTGGTAGTTAGGGTTCAATTATCTAAGTATTCAGTTGTAGATTTTTTAAATATATAAGAAAATTTTTAAGAGAATCATGATGACAAATTTAAAATGTGCAAACTAAATCTAAAACTATAGGTTTTGTCATAAATGGTAATTTATAAATAAATTATGTTAATTTATACTATCAAGTTTTTGAATGTTATAAAAAATTAATTAGATTCTTGAAATAGTTTAAATTTAAATATATGTTAAGAAAGTTTAATTGTTCTAATCTAGTCTACTCAATAGCCCAGTATTTTGTTTTGATTATTGTCTAGTTAATAGTCGAAAATATACTACAGTCTAATATATAGTCTAGTCTAGACAAAATATAGTTTAGTCTATAGTCTAGTCTACAGTCTGGACTATAGTCTAGTCTACAGTCTGGACTATAGTCTAGGCTATAGTCTAGTCTATAGTCTGGACTATAGTCTATAATCTGGACTATAGTCTAGTCTAGTCTATAGTCTGGACTATAGTTCAGTATAATTATATAGTCCAGAATATAGTTTAGTCTATCTACTCTATAGTCTGGCCAAAAGTCTATTCTATAGTCTGGACTATAGTCTAATCCATAGTCTGAACTATAGTCTATAGCCTAGTCTATAGTCTGGACTATATTCTAGTCTATAGTCTAGTCTATAGTCTGGACTATAGTCTAGTCTATAGTCTGGTCTATAGTCTGGACTATAGTCTGGTCTATAGTCTGGTCTATAGTCTGGACTATAGTCTAGTCTATAGTCTGGACTATAGTCTAGTCTATAGTCTGGACTATAGTCTAGGGTACAGTCTGAACTATAGTCTAGTCTACAGTCTGGACTATAATCTAGTCTACAGTCTGGACTATAATCTAGTCTACAGTCTGGACTATAGTCTAGTCTACAGTCTGGACTACAGTCTGGACTATAGTCTAGTCTACAGTCTGGACTATAGTCTAGTCTATAGTCTAGTCTATAGTCTAGTCTATAGTCTAGTCTATAGTCTAGTCTATAGTCTAGTATATAGTCTAGTCTATAGTCTAGTCTATAGTCTAGTCTATAGTGTAGTCTATAGTCTAGTCTATAGTCTAGTCTATAGTCTAGTCTATAGTGTAGTCTATAGTGTAGTCTATAGTCTAGTCTATAGTCTAGTCTATAGTCTAGTCTATAGTCTAGTCTATAGTCTAGTCTATAGTCTAGTCTAGTAGTCTATAGTCTAGTCTATAGTCTAGTCTATAGTCTAGTCTATAGTCTAGTCTATAGTCTAGTCTATAGTCTAGTCTATAGTCTAGTCTATAGTCTAGTCTATAGTCTAGTCTATAGTCTAGTCTATAGTCTAGTCTATAGTCTAGTCTATAGTCTAGTCTATAGTCTAGTCTATAGTCTAGTCTATAGTCTAGTCTATAGTCTAGTCTATAGTCTAGTCTATAGTCTAGTCTATAGTCTAGTCTATAGTCTAGTCTATAGTCTAGTCTATAGTCTAGTCTATAGTTTAGTCTAGTCTATAGTTTAGTTAGTCTATTGTCTAGTCTATAGTCTAGTCTATAGTCTAGTCTATAGTCTAGTCTATTGTCTAGTCTATAGTCTAGTCTATAGTCTAGTCTATAGTCTAGTCTATAGTCTAGTCTATAGTCTAGTCTATAGTCTAGTCTATAGTCTAGTCTATAGTCTAGTCTATAGTCTAGTCTATAGTCTAGTCTATAGTCTAGTCTATAGTCTAGTCTATAGTCTAGTCTATAGTCTAGTCTATAGTCTAGTCTATAGTCTAGTCTATAGTCTAGTCTATAGTCTAGTCTATAGTCTAGTCTATAGTCTAGTCTATAGTCTAGTCTATAGTCTAGTCTATAGTCTAGTCTATAGTCTAGTCTATAGTCTAGTCTATAGTCTAGTCTATAGTCTAGTCTATAGTCTAGTCTATAGTCTAGTCTATAGTCTAGTCTATAGTCTAGTCTATAGTCTAGTCTATAGTCTAGTCTATAGTCTAGTCTATAGTCTAGTCTATAGTCTAGTCTATAGTCTAGTCTAGTCTATAGTCTAGTCTAGTCTATAGTCTAGTCTAGTCTATAGTCTAGTCTAGTCTATAGTCTAGTCTAGTCTATAGTCTTATAGTCTAGTCTATAGTCTAGTCTATAGTCTAGTCTTTTGTCTAGTCTATAGTCTAGTCTATAGTCTAGTTTATAGTCTAGTCTATAGTCTAGCCTATAGTCTAGTCTATAGTCTAGTCTATAGTCTAGTCTATAGTCTAGTCTATAGTCTAGTCTATAGTCTAGTCTATAGTCTAGTCTATAGTCTAGTCATTAGTCTAGTCTATAGTCTAGTCTATAGCCTATGCTATAGCCTAAACTTTACTCACTTCACTTTTTCATAAAAAAATCCTTTTTGTTAACAAAAATTCACTTTTCACAAAAATTTTAACTTTTTCACCAAAAAATCACTTTTTGCCTTTCAAAAGCTGACATAATTTTCGATTTACAGAAAAAAATAACAATTAAAATAAATAGTTAAAATATTTTACTCACAAACAATGAAAAATATTTATGAATAAGAATATTATTCAATGAATATTAAGAAAATGTTTTTTTTTTTTTTTAATTGCATTATTATCAAGAAAACGTGTCGTCGCAGTTAAAATGTTTAAACCAATTGCGTTAATGAATTTTATTTAAGTAAACAAATAATATTTACAAAAAGTTATAATTTTTACATAATTGTGTAAAAGTGAAAGGAAATGTTTGAAAATTGTTAAAGAAAAATGTTGTGTAAATAGTAATTTTTTGTTGTGTAATTTAAAATTTTAATTATCACGTTCAAAAGTTTAAAAGTTCTGAAATATTTCGAAACATTTTGAAATTTGAAACCCAAAATTACAGTTATTGAAATATTGGATAATTGAAAATTTAATATTTCCGTTGAAATTCTCAATTTTGACGTTACAATTTTCAATAATTGTGCAAAAATTTTAAAGATATTTGTTTAATTTTGTAAAATTTGTAACTAAATCTTACCGTTTCCATACACTGTGCATGATTTTGCATGCATTTTCCATTGGTATAATTATTGTTGTTATTATTATTTAAATGTGTATTTAAAAGATGAGAACGTTTTGTAAACATTTTCTATTAATTTTTTAATATTTTAGTTATAATTTTAACACTTTACTTTTCCAACTATTAAATAAATTATTCTCCGAAAAAAAAAACAAAAAATTAAAAAAACAAACAATAATAAAGTTTTAACACAATAACAACATTAAACGAAAAGAAAAAAGAAATGTATCTTAAACTTTCACAAAACAACTATTTAATCAAGCGACCAACAAACGTATGAAAATTGAAATGAATTTCTTGTTTTTTAAATCGAAAAAAATCTTTAACTGCAACTTAAAAACTTCCGCGCAGAGAGTGAGAGCAGAGCACAGAAACGCCCGTCATTTCTATACGACGCAATGGAAGAAAGATAGATAGAAAAGAAAGATTGTTGGTTTTATTATGAGTACTGCTGCGAGTACTTCTACTACATTTTGCTCAATATTAAAATACAGACAAGTGTATATTTTAGATATTATACAGTCTCGACGTCATAGTGTGATCTTTATCAATCTTCTTCATTCATTGCAAACTTAAATTGAGATTGTTTTTATTCACAAATGGAAATTGTTGAGCTAAGCGACTAGACTAGTGTGTGACACTCAAGTGCATAAATAGTTACCTTTGGGCTTAACCCTTTAAAGGTTAGAGAGTGGAGGTCATGTCATAGGTAAAGTTTCAAAATTAAAGCTAAACTAAGATTAGCATTAACTATAGTTTATTCTAGTCTATAGTATAGTCTATTGTCTAGTCTAGTCTAGTCTAGTAGTCTATAGTCTAGTCTATAGTCTAGTCTATAGTCTAGTCTATAGTCTAGTCTATAGTCTAGTCTATAGTCTAGTCTATAGTCTAGTCTATAGTCTAGTCTATAGTCTAGTCTATAGTCTAGTCTATAGTCTAGTCCAACGGTTCCCAAAAGGGGGTCCGCGGACCCCTAGTGGTCCGTAGCAAAATCCTAGGGGGTCCGCGAAGACGAACGAAAAAAATCATGAATAAAAAATATTATCTATATGTTAGAAAATATTAAAAATATCTCCAAATTTGTCATAAATACTAAAATACACAATTTTTATTCAATAATCCCAGATTTGTTGGTGACTCTTTGAATTTTATTGTTTCGGTCGTTTATCAGGATGAAGCTAGGCCTTACAAATTTATTGTTTCACTTTTATAAAGTAAAGTATTAAGTGATTTGTAATTTTTATAAATGTATATGTATCGAAATAAATGTTTTTATAGCAGACGGATAATGATTTGCCTTAGAATTAAATACTGATACTGGTATCCCAGGTTAGGTCACATTTCATAATATTTTTTTAAATTGTAAGCAAAAGTGTTAATCTAGTTAATTTTAAATATAAATATTCCATTCCGACGTGATACACAGATTTTAACTTCATTTTGTTGTCCAATATTATTAAATCAACATCAGAAAATTCATAGCGTTTTGCGTAAATAGTCAAAACCACGCAGTAAAATAATTCGTAGGTATTTTAAAATTCAAAATTAAGATCCAAATTCACAGTACATTCGCAAAGAGTTCAGGTCATATTTTATGTGGGTAACGCATTCCGCAACAACATCGAAGAAGTCTAACTTTCACATATTTTCTCGAAAACTTAGCTTACATACTCAGCTCACTCCTATGCAATCGCAAAAAAATTTAGAAACATGACTCTTTAAGCACATGTCGACAATACTTGATAAAGAAACCTTTTCTATACCTTGACGAGAAATGAACATGAAAGCTCTCACGATCATAAAATTAAACATCATGTTAGAAGTCATTCTATATTTAAAACCATGCAATTGAAAACATCTCCGATCTCAATGTACGGGAATATTTTATAGGGTTTATGGACCAGGACTAAGACAATTTTCGGACGAACAATTACACAGTGATACAGCAAAAAAATGCAGGGGTTCTCATATACCAATTCCATTTCGTTATAGTCCATAGAGTAGGAATATATTTTTAATTTTTCCCGATCACTTCGTTTAGTTCCTTTTTAAGAGCAAAAGATGTGAAAAAGAGCTATTTTTGAAGTTTTAACTTTAAAAAAATATATTTATGGTAGTTTGCAACCGATTTTCAAATTGGATATTTTGTTTTAAAGATACAAGTGTTGTCTTTCAACCCAAAAAAATAAATCCAAAATTTATGATTAATGTCTTGGTTACGGCCTTTTAAGTAAAAAAACTCACATTTTTTCACAATTTTTAATTTTCATACTGCTCTACGTTGGCCATGAAGCAGTAACTTTAGCTTTTATTACATTTGAAAAAAGGCACATTAAGTTGGGTTTCCAATGATGGTCAATTTATGATAATCGATGAAAAAGGTTATGAGTTGTGCTAAGTTTTATAAAAATATAGCATATTTCTTCCATACAAAAACGTTCATGTTTCTGGTTTTCTTTGTAACAAGTTTAAAAAATGTTTATAAACATTTTTATACAAAAATTAATTTGTATGGAGAAAACCAAAAATTCGAGGAACATGCTATTAGAAAAATTGGCATAAATCATCCAGTTTTTCATAGATTTTTATGAAATAACAAGTTTTAGAAACCTTCCTTTATGTGATTCTTCAGGAAAGTAATAAAAGATGAACTCACTGCCTCAAGGTCAAAGTAGAGCATGATGAAAATGAAATTTTTTTAAAAAAGTGTGAGTTTCTTTACTTAAACGGCAACACTTGTATCATTAAAAAAAATATCGGATTTGAAAATCGGATGAAAACTACTACTAAACTTATGATTTTTCAAATTTAAAACTTCAAAAATGGCTCTTTTTCGCATCTTTTGCTCTTAAAACGTAAGTTAACGAAGTGATAGGGGAAAACTAAAATATATTCGTACTCTAGGGACTATAACGAAAAGAATTGGTATGATGAGAACGCCTGCATTTTATTTTTCTCTTCACTTTTGTATCACAGTGTTATTTATAACAATAAGATATCAAAATATGTATGGGGGTCCGTGAAATTAAATAAATTCCTCAAGGGGTCCGCGAAGTAAAAACGGTGGGAACCGCTGTCTAGTCTATAGTCTAGTCTATAGTCTAGTCTATAGTTAGTCTATAGTTCTAGTCTATAGTCTAGTCATAGTCTAGTCTATAGTCTAGTCTATAGTCTAGGTTCTATAGTCTCGTCTATAGTATAGCTATAGTCTAGTCTATAGTCTAGTCTATAGTTCTAGTCTCTAGTATAGTCTTAGTCTAGTCTATAGTCTAGTCTATAGTAGTCTATAGTCTAGTCTATAGTCTAGTCTATAGTCTAGTCTATAGTCTAGTCTATAGTCTAGTCTATAGTCTAGTCTATAGTCTAGTCTATAGTCTAGTCTATAGTCTAGTCTATAGTCTAGTCTATAGTCTAGCTAGTCTATAGTCTAGTCTATAGTCTAGTCTATAGTCTAGTCTATAGTCTAGTCTATAGTCTAGTCTATAGTCTTAGTCTATAGTCTAGTCTATAGTCTAGTCTATAGTCTAGTCTATAGTCTAGTCTATAGTCTAGTCTATAGTCTAGTCTATAGTCTAGTCTATAGTCTAGTCTATAGTCTAGTCTATAGTCTAGTCTATAGTCTAGTCTATAGTCTAGTCTATAGTCTAGTCTATAGTCTAGTCTATAGTCTAGTCTATAGTCTAGTCTATAGTCTAGTCTATAGTCTAGTCTATAGTCTAGTCTATAGTCTAGTCTATAGTCTAGTCTATAGTCTAGTCTATAGTCTAGTCTATAGTCTAGTCTATAGTCTAGTCTATAGTCTAGTCTATAGTCTATAGTCTAGTCTATAGTCTAGTCTAGTCTAGTCTATAGTCTAGTCTATAGTCTAGTATTAGTCTTAGTCTAGTCTATAGTCTAGTCTATAGTCTAGTCTATAGTCTAGTCTATAGTCTAGTCTATAGTCTAGTCTATAGTCTAGTCTATAGTCTAGTCTATAGTCTAGTCTATAGTATAGTCTATAGTCTAGTCTATAGTCTAGTCTATAGTCTAGTCTATAGTCTAGTCTAGTCTAGTCTATAGTCTAGTCTATAGTCTAGTCTATAGTCTAGTCTATGTCTAGTCTATAGTCTAGTCTATAGTCTAGTCTATAGTCTAGTCTATAGTCTAGTCTATAGTCTAGTCTATAGTCTAGTCTATGTTAGTCTATGTCTATAGTCTAGTCTATAGTCTAGTCTAGATAGTCTCTAGTCTAGTCTATAGTCTGGTCTAGTCTATAGTCTGGTCTAGTCTATAGTCTGGTCTAGTCTATAGTCTGGTCTAGTCTATAGTCTAGTCTATAGTCTAGTCTATAGTCTAGTCTATAGTCTAGTCTATAGTCTAGTCTATAGTCTAGTCTATAGTCTAGTCTATAGTCTAGTCTATAGTCTAGTCTATAGTCTAGTCTATAGTCTAGTCTATAGTCTAGTCTATAGTCTAGTCTATAGTCTAGTCTATAGTCTAGTCTATAGTCTAGTCTATAGTCTAGTCTATAGTCTAGTCTATAGTCTAGTCTAGTCTAGTCTATAGTCTAGTCTATAGTCTAGTCTATAGTCTAGTCTATAGTCTAGTCTATAGTCTAGTCTATAGTCTAGTCTATAGTCTAGTCTATAGTCTAGTCTATTACTAGTCTATAGTCTAGTCTATAGTCTAGTCTATAGTCTAGTCTATAGTCTAGTCTATAGTCTAGTCTATAGTCTAGTCTATAGTCTAGTCTATAGTCTAGTCTATAGTCTAGTCTATAGTCTAGTCTATAGTCTAGTCTATAGTCAGGTCTGTATAGTCTATAGTCTACTTAGTCTATGTCTAGTAGTCTAGTCTATAGTCTAGTCTATAGTCTAGTCTATAGTAGTCTATAGTCTAGTCTATAGTCTAGTCTATAGTCTAGTCTATAGTCAGTCTATAGTCTAGTCTATAGTAGTTATAGTCTAGTCTATAGTCTAGTCTATAGTCTAGTCTATAGTCTAGTCTATAGTCTAGTCTATAGTCTAGTCTATAGTCTAGTCTATAGTCTAGTTCTATAGTCTAGTCTATAGTACTAGTTATAGTCTAGTCTATAGTCTAGTCTATAGTCTAGTCTATAGTCTAGTCTAGGTCTATAATCCAGTCTATAGTCTAGTCTATAGTCTAGTCTATAGTCTAGTCTATAGTCTAGTCTATAGTCTAGTCTATAGGTCTAGGTCTATAGTCTAGTATATAGTTCTAGTCTATAGTCTAGTCTATAGTCTAGTCTATAGTTAGTCTATAGTCTAGTCTATAGTCTATTAGTCTATAGTCTAGTCTATAGTCTAGTCTACAGTCTAGTCTATAGTCTAGTCTATAGTCTAGTCTATAGTCTAGTCTATTGTCTAGTCTATAGTCTAGTCTATAGTCTAGTCTAGT